TTCTTATAAGTAGTGTACTCTTTTAAAAATGTGGAGCAATTTTTTTCAAAAATGTGGAAACATCTTTCTTTTTATTGCTCATCATCTACAGGAACTCCACTGTTATCTATGACCATTTCCTGGAATAATAACAATAATAATAATTATAATAATAATAATAATAATAAGTTACCTTTATATAGTACCTTTTACAATCTCAAGCTTGCTTTACATAACAAAGAACAAAAAATATAAAATAAAATGAAAAGGAAGCTATGACTAAGCAGTAAAGGAGGAAGAGAAATGCTCATGAAAAAGTTTTTAAATCACACTTGAAAGTAGAAAAAGAGCAGAGTTGCAGAGTTTGGGGGCCATGGCACTGAAGTACCTACCTCAAAGGGGGAAAGTCTGGTGTGTGGCACAGCAAGTGAGTTATTACAAGAATACCTGACAGAGCGAGAGGGAGTGTAAGAGATCAGGAGTTCACTCAGGTAGAGGGGAGCAAACGTATGCATAACTTTTTTATGGGACAGGACTGGCAGCCAGTGTAGCTGAGAGAGAATGGGGTGATGCAAGCTGAATGCTTAGTATTGATGAGAAATCCAGAGTTCTGAAGATACTGTAGCTTTTTTATAGACTTTACAAGGAGGCCAATAAAGAAGGAGTTACGGTAATCAGTAGGTGACAGAATGAAGACATGAACCAAAGTTTGTGTATCATTATCAGCCAGGCGTATGTAGTTACACACATGTAAAATCCCTTTGTCTCCATCAACATTAGTAAAATCAGTTGAAATTGCCATTTAGCACAATCAGGGTGATAATTAAAAAGTTTGAAAAGGACAGAACATTTGAAAACCAGGGAGAGGACACATAAGCATACTGCCCCCACATACAGTGAGGAGGACGGTAAGAGAGGCAAACAGGAACCAAGAGATAGTTTTAAAATGGCAGAGTTTAGTTATGTCGTGGAGAAGAGGCCTTTTCTAACAGCAAGCCACAAAATGCAGCGCCTGAACTTCGCAAAATTAAGTCATTGGAACTGGAAATGGAATGTGATGTGGTCAGATGAGACAAAATTTTTTGGTCATGCCCAATATCGTCACATTTAAGAGAAAACTGCATACAATACCAAGCACCAGATACTCTGTTAAATATGGTGGTGGATCATTGATGCTTTGGAGCTGTTTTGCTGCTTGTGGTCCAGAGTTGTCCACTACAGTAGGGAGAGGAGGTGGGCTAATTTTTTCTGTGGTGGTCCCTGTCCAAATGTGTATGTGTGTGTGTGTTCTCTCTCTCTGTTTGTGCAGAGACTGTTCCTCTGTTCTCCTGTGGGATTTGGCACAAGCTTGCAGGATAACAGAATAACAGCCCTGAGGGGCAGACGCTCCAGTCTCCAGACACTCTGGGCTGTTTGTACTCACTGGTTTATTTTTCTGACAGTGAAATGTGACACTGCATTCCACAAACTGCTGCTCAGGCGTGAGATTATTGGACATCTCTTCTTCTGGGTGAAATGCCACTTATCAGTGCAGGTGAAAGGAATCAATTGCCCTAATAGGCGTTCCCCATGTTTGTGAGTTTCAAATTAGATGTAGCGCTTCAGAGAACAGGAAATGGAATTATCTTCATAGTGAAGAATAAATGGTGTGGGCTCCTCGTATAAGATCTTTTTTTCCTTTTGAAATAAAAATTTGATGAACTCTATAAACTTTGCTCAAAAATGCATACCAGTTGAACATCCTGACTATTAGAGCTAGGCCTTCATTTTGGGCCATAAATGTCAAGACCTGGTCAAAATTTGAGGAAAAACTTCCTGAACTGCTTATTTATGCCTTATGTGATTATGCAGTAATGGTGTCAAAATGATCATTAATATGTAATTTATCTTATATGCATTTGCACTCCTTAATAATACCTTTTCATTTGAATGATCAAAGAGAGCACTGATTAAAAAGAGCCCCAACATAAAGCTGTTGCTGTTTTCCATTTCAACAACCTACTGATCAGGCTGCTGCTTGTATTAGCAGTCAAGAAAGCCTAGAGTGATGCTCTTTCTCAAATAATAGGTCCCGCCTACTGGAAATGAAAACATGATTGGTTAATTCACCTGTCACTTCATAATTATCCAGAGGTTATTCTAACACAGTCTCTCCAGAACTTGAAGTATTAACCATTAGGAGAGCTCACTGAACTATATCTACATGGATGCCACAGGGAAAAACAATTCCTGATTGGCCAATTTTGTATAGGCATTTCAAGAATTTAAGCTTTTTGTTTCCATCCAGAACTTTACAATGTAACAGATGTAGTACTGTAATGCTTTCAAAATTTAAATACAAGCATGGTACTATTGAATTAAAATGAACTAAAAGTGACAGACATTAATTTTAGTTCCCAGAAATCATGAGTCCTTCTATGAAAGCCTAGAAGGCCCTGAAGGTTCCCTTCTGATCAGTATAATCCATAAAAGGCAGTTTTCCACAGCACAGTAAAAAATAATAAAACAAAAACAACAAGAACTCTAATCAAGCAGGAATCAACACACCTTTTAGTTCAATTTCCAACAGCTTGAGACAGCTTGTGCCATCATGGTAATGATTCCTTGCCTTTTGGTAATTTCAGGTACTGCAATTGTGCAAGTCTGAAGTGTCAAATTTGACTTTTTGGCTAACTTGATATATACAGTTTGCTAAACTAGATTGTACTAACATGAAATGATTTACTGCACCCACAGTCACAAAAAAATCCTTGATGGTAACATTTATGCAGACTTACCTGTAGAGTCAAGCAAAGCTTCAGCTTTTTCTTGACGCATTAGTTATCTTGCTTTGTTGTCTTTGCTTACCACTAGTTGTGCTGACATGAAATCATATGTGCTTTTCTACACTCAGACAAATGTCTGCATTTACTTAAAATCCAGTGTAGACTCCAGCAAAGCTCATCTTTCTCTCTGTCCAGTGCAAAAATATGATCAAAAACACTTGTTCTGTGCAGACTAACATAGATGGCAATATCATTAGCGTGATCGTTAGCAATACCGTTAGCGTTCGCTAGCTTACCTTAGCCTCTTTCCAAAATAATAATTCTATAAATAGCAACTGATACATCAACAACCCATTCCAGTGTTAGTACAAATCCTTTACATATGTATATATTCCTTTACACAGGACTACATGTGGTAAGGCGTTTTGTTACTGTAGGCCACCAACCCTCCTCCCGGTGATCTACTTTCAAACTGTGTCAAGTTTATTCTGAACCTGCTTCTAACATGCTGCCCCCATTGCCTAAACTAACACTGACACATCTGATCCACCCAACTCATTAGCTGGAGCAGGTGCAGCAAATTGTGGTTGGAACTAGACTCCACAGGAAGGAAGGTCTACAGAACCAGGGGTGATGACCACTGCTGTAGGCCATCTGTTACAGAGTTAATGAAGTGGAAAACTGCTAAATGTTGTGCTGTTCCTGGCTGTTGGAAAGCAAATAGATCATTGCAGCCATGCAAAACATAACTGCAGCCTTCCAGATTATCCAAAAGGAGAGGCTTTCTGAACATGGCACAACACAGGGGATCCAGTCAGAGTAGAGATTGGTTACATATCAGTCTTAAAGGCACAGCAACAAAAACAGCCTGTTTTATTCTTAAACGGGATAAAAAAGGCTGTAAAATTGTCATGGAAATATTAATTCTAACACTTTTCGGTACAAATAAATGTAGGAAGCGGGTCTGTTGTGTTTTTGTTCTTTCATGAAAGTTATGTTTGTGAATACTAGTGTTGTCACAAAATGTTGAAATACATTGAAATTCGATACCGTTTTCAATATCAAAGGCAGATAAAATGAGGGCCTTGTATGTTTTTAGACAAACATATCCAAATAACATAAGATTTCTCTTAGGCTCATGTTCACACAAGCAGTGCACATAGCGTGACATAAGAGGCAAATAGAAATACAGCTATTGTGTCAACAACCTCAATTACCAAATTCTATATTTTTAATGAACAATGGGAGCGTTCAGTTTTCAACACAAATGAATGCTGAGACCATTATTGGAAGCTTCAAGGGAACTCAAAGTTAGCTTAGCTGTTGTTAGCACATATGGCTATTAAACCAAGAATAGGATAATAAACATTTATTAGGACGATAGTTTAATGAGACAAAAATGTTTCAAAATGTTTCAGTGATATTAAAATCACCAGTGTCTTGGAACTCTCTGTACAGGTCAGCTTGCTGGTAATGCTGGAAACATTTTCTGATGAGGACATTTAGACTATCAAATTATCCTACCTGTAGTTTACGAAGCTGAAATTGTCTTCCTAGTTGCCAGCTTCTTGTTTGAATTTTCCCATTCCACCTTAAATGTTGCAGCAGTTCCACATCATTTAATGGGAAATTTTAAACAAGACGCTGGCAAATAAGAAGCTGACATCAACCTTATAGTTTTAAAGCTGGTAGTAGTTTTTAATAAGGTGATTTAAGTTATCAAAATAACCTACATAGAATGTTATGCATGTAGCTACCTATAAATGCTCTATAGTAGAACATTTTGACTTTCCATCTTTTCCATCCTTATTTGCTTCAAAACCATGTCCACACAGCCATCCAACTGTTGTATTTGTCAACTAAGATTGGTTGCAAAGGCTGTACAACTTGCTGCAGCTGCCCTTTTAGCACAACAAACCGCACTGCTAGCAAGGTGGTTACAGAGGCCCATTTGGGCCAAAGTAAGCGCAAGCAGGAAAGTGGATTGGATATGAATAGTATCAATACCACAGGAAACAAGTATTGTGCTGTTTCAAAATGTTCAGTATTGATATGTATTGATATGTCACTTTTTCACAAAGCTATTTAATACAGCACAGCACTACCAACAACTCCAACTACAGTGATGATGATGGTGATAATGATAAGAAAGAGGTTAATTATGCAAGATTGTCCTACTCCACAGTACAGGCTAATAAGTGCTACTGTTTTTTGTCCGTCAGAACATCTTTCAGCAGGAACAACTGTACTGAAGCCATGTGGGAGCAATACAACATCTACTCCAGAACAAACTACACCTTCGACCCTACTCCTTCCCCGTATAACATCACCCCGGAGCAGGTCAACGCTACTCATAAGCCCTTTAGTGTGTTTGATGGCTGTGAACACATGGTGGAGGGCATCCTATTTGACCTGATAGTCCAATGTTTTAATATAGCTGTAGGAGTGCCAGCCAACATCCTGGTCATTGCCATCCTGATCCGCAACAAGCATGAGCCTACCACCTCCGACATCTTCTTAGGCTGCCTGGCCTTCATGGATGCCTACTTTGGCCTCATGGTCCCTATAAGCTTCCTCAACTTCTACCACTGGAGGAGCAAGCAAGGCTGGATGGCCATGAAGTTCTCTTATGGTGTGAAGGACACCAGCGGCCCTCTCTTCCTGTCCTGCATTTGCCTAGACCGTTTTGTGGCCGTGCTCTTCCCCATAGCCTTTGGCCAGCTCAAGGCTATCAAGTACAGGATCAGCCTCTCCGTGTTCGTCCTGTGCCTCACTTTTGCTTATGCCTCAGCCAAAATGATCGGAGGCCTCCCCAACTTTGAGAAAGTGTTCACAGGTGAGATCCTGGCCACGTTTGCCTGGATGGTGGTGTGCAACCTGTCCATTCTTTGGGCACTGAAGCGCTCACGGGGTGCAGGCAAAGACGAGATGCACCCAATGAAGAAGAAGGCCTTTAAGATGGTGCTGTCGCTTCTGGCCATTATTGTGTGCAACTACTTGCCTCCAGTGGCGTTATTCCCCTTCCAGGATCACTATTCTCCAATGGCCTTCATCTGCTACGTTCAGCCAGTGGGTTTTGCCTTCCTGAACATCAGCAGCACCATCCAGCCCCTCATTTACCTGTCCCGCCTAGAAAAGGTGCCCTTTCTGCCCCAGTCCTTCTTAAAGAGGTTCTCCTGCAAAGAGAAAAAAGAGCCCTCACCAGCTTAGAGGACTAGAGGATCTGCACAGGAGACCTGATCTCCAGATTGGTCATGTGATGTTTTGAATGTGGCAATATTTTGCATGTCAAGGTGTTTTTTAGAAAAAAAGGTTCATACTGTCAATGTAAATAACATAAGTGTGTCTAACGTTAATATTTTACCTTTCTGTCTTGACAAACAAGAGCTGACATAATGTATATTAAACTGCTTCATCCATCTCTCTGCCTTTTAAACGTTTTTCATCTGCAGACCCAGAATGGCAGCAAGAATCATAGTTTCTGCAATTTCAGATTTTGGAAAATACCATAGTTGGGTATTTGTGCCAGTGGTGTAGCTGTAGTCAATAAAAATACTAGAAAATATGAAGTCGTCATGGGCAAAGATGGTACCTGAGATACCTGAGGTTTAAATAAGACCCTCCAAGATATTCTCTAAACATTCTCTAATGGTGTTCTAATAAGTAGCGTCTGATCAGGTGCACCTGATCAGTTTGACATGTTTGAAGCAATGATATATGCAGGGGTGCACTTACTTTTTCTACATAAGAAAACTGCTTTACTGTTTATTTCGATTATATAAAGGATGACAAAAATGTTAATTCTAAGTGTCACTTAAATCGCTTCACGTGCCAAGAGCCAGTTTCCACCGCAGTGGTCCATGCCACCAAGGACCTCCCCGCCATCCCTTGCTGGAGGGATTATCTCTCCAAGTTGGCCTGGGAGCGGCTCAGAGTCCCCCGGAATGAGCTGGAGGAAGTTGTGGGGGACAGGGTCATCTGGGTTTTTTTGCTCTCCCAACTGCTACCGCAACCCTTGCGGGATTAAGCGGTTTAAGAAGATGATGACTTGTCAAATCATATCACCTTTGCCTATCAATATCGTTTAAAATCAACATTGTCTTTATCTCCAAATAAAATCTAAACTTTTCATGGGTGTACTCACTTCTTCACATGACTATAAATGGAAACTAAGCTGCAACAACCGCCTGTTTTGAATTCACTGTTTCTCTGATGCAATAAGAACCAACTCATTTGTATATATCCACTCATTCAGACTACAGCAGCTTAGCCCCATCCATTATAAGCAGTGGTTATAAGAAGTTATAAGCAGTGTTTCAGCTCTGAGTGCTTTTTGAATGAGGCAGCCAATCAGGACTGAGTTAATTTTTCTTATATTAGTCTTAAAGGTAAAGCAACAAAGAAAAAAGAAAGGTTGGAAATTCGTCTTGTAAAAACAAATTATGACTCCTTTGGTACATAAAACGAAACAAATGTTAGTGGACCTCAAGAGGAAAAAAAAAATACAGGAAAATGTAGCATATGGGCCCTTTAAAGGCCCTTACTTGAGCTACCTGTTTGTAGCTAGCTAATCCAAGAGCTAATATTTAATACTTGGCTTGTAAAATCATTACAAAAAATATTATTCTTAGATGCAAAGGCATAGGGACCGTAATTACCCTGATCCTAAACGCAATAAGGCACAATCGTAAAACCGCAGTGTGTCCTGAGTGAAAAAAGAGATGACATAAAAGCTAAGAGAATGCATTTGCTTTATGAGTCTTTAAAATAAACACTGGAAGAAATACAGTAAAACAAAGAATTAGGGTCTGAAACATTGTTTGAAAAAATGTATGTGATCAGAACATGTAGTCTATGGAGAAACCTATTATCTGGTCCAACAAAGCATACCATTTGGCTACTTGGACTAGACAGGTACACCAATCTCTACTTGGGAAGAAAGTGCAGGTTCTGAGCTGCGGCTGGCTCTGTACTTCTGCAGATATGACTGGGTCTGTGGCGCCATCATGTGTTTCAGACAAATAAATGACATTATATCATCTACATCAATTCGGTTTTGCCTTGACAATTTCAATGTCTTTCTCTCTAATTACTGAAATAAATATTTAATAGTCTTATTTTAATACTGTGCTTTTAAAAAACATTGAGAACACAACAAATACTGTGCAATATTTCTGTGTAGAGTCTCAGTGTCACAGCATTTGCATACTGCTATGAGTTACTGTATGTAGAATGATGTTTATCAGGTCCATCTGACCAATTTGAAGCATAAATAAACTAAACATAAAACATGCTGTCATAATGCTGCGTTATCCTGATTTCAATGGCATCAAATTTACAAATTTACAGGGGGTCCTGGAGTAGTTTCTTCATTTACAGCCAGTGCTCTATAATCTTATTTGTGTTTAGATCTGCCATGGAAGAGTTATAGACAGAATATATTTTTGGTTGGTTTTTATCGAACCTAGCAGTGGTCTAATAATTTTAGCCCTGTCTGGACACACATCGTCATGATTTTCCAGGCAGATGTCACTTCAAGCTGGGAAAAAAAGGTTTTGCTACTCATCATATTTAGCAAATTCATATTAAACACTTCCCAATTTTGTTAAATGAAGAGTCTCTCAACAGTTTACTTGGCCTGAGTGGTAGAATGTGGTCTCCACCCTCACTCAACTGGGAAAAAGGTATGAAACTGTCACTGGGGCAGTACCGCTCTTGTCACTGGGGTGGTGCCCTCAAGAGTACATCTCAGTACCTTTAGGGAACAAAATTGTACCATAATAATCCATTGAAATAATATTTTCTAAGTTGTATTGACTCCGCACACCCCGTCTCGTCTCCAGGCTTTTGTTTCATTGTCCTGTTTTAAAGCATTAGTTTATGAAAAAGTACAAGTATTTACTTTGCTCCTATGAAAAACTTATTTAAGGTACACAATTGGACTTAAAACCACTATTGTGGATACGTTTACACTGTTTGTACCTTGATGAAAGAAAAATATACCTACACAATATCTTTTTTTCTTACAGAATACACTGGGAGATCATTAGCAAGAGGAGAAAGAAAATAAAGTTAAGAAATTGAGTGAATTTTGGCTACCCACCCAGCATATTCTACAGTGCTGTAAGAGTAAGCAAACAACGCTGCAATATATTGAGGAGAAAACTCTATCGGTGTGTGTATTTGCAGCAAAACACAGGAATTAATGTATTTAATATAAGCTCTGTAGAGATTAGCCTTTTTTCTTTAACGTCTAACAGTGTGAATAAACTCAAGAAGGCCCTGAGGCCTTGATCATAGTGGCAGCATTACAAGACATTTTTGTATGACTGTTACTGCTGCTTATAATTAATCAGTGACCTCAATCGCCTCAAGTAGGTGACTTTGCACATATAAGGAACACTCATGAGATTGAGCTTGAACACATTTGCTTGAATTGTAAAACACATCCTGTTGGCTGTTTGGAAAAACAGGTCGTCATTAGTACACCTGCGTTCACTTTTTCCTTGTAAATAGATTACTCACATGCATAACAGGCATAGTTACCAAAAGTCTCTGGCTGTGTATTTACTTTATGACATTTTACAGGCATCAGAGTGACAGGAATGAATAGTTTTATGATCGTGGTGATTCTTTTACAAACATGTATCTTTAGCACAACAGCAGGGTGAAGACAGTGGTGGTCCATGTCCACAGGTATGTATTTGTGTGTTCTCTTGCTGTTTGTTTCTCTGTTCTCCTGTGGGATTTGGCACAAGTTTGCAGGATAACAGAATAACAGCCCTGAGGGTCTGACGCTCCAGTCTCCAGACACTCTATGCTGTTTGTTGTCTTTGACTTATTTTTCTTCTGACAGTGAAACATGACACTCTTGCTCTTGATCTTTGCTAAATGGCACTTAAGTGACAGAAATCAAGTGTCCTAATAGTCGTTCCTCATGTTTGTGAGTTTCAGATTAAAACTTCAGAGAGCAGGAAATGATCTGTATAGTGAAGAGCTAAAATGGTGAGGCCTCCCTTCTCCATCAAAGATTTTTTTCCCATATACAAAGGAAATATTTCCATATGTTTTTTAAAACTTTTATATGTTTGACATGAATGTAAATATTTAAAAAATGACCCTATTACATATCAAAATGTCTAAAAAACCAAACATCTCAGTTTTTTTATTCATCAGCTGTCCTTTACTGTCCTTTGTCGTGTAAACTCTTAAAAATGATGGTTCTTCATTGGTTCTTTAGTTATGAAAATATAGAATAATTTGCATGATGAAATGGTTCTTCAGATTGATGGAGAATGTGTTGTATATGGTTCTATATGGTACCTTTTTGAAAATGGTTCTATACAGGACCAAAAAGGGTTCTGCTATTTTTACAATGTCAAGTTCTTCAGATTGATGGAGAATGTGTTGTATATGGTTCTATATGGTACCTTTTTGAAAATGGTTCTATACAGGACCAAAAAGGGTTCTTCTGTTGTTACAGACTTGACATTGTAAAAATAGCAGAACACTTTTTGGTGCTGTATAGAACCCTTATCAGAATGGTTCTATACAGAACCATCTACAGCAATCTGCAGAACCCTTTCATGATGCAAAGGACCCTTTCATTATGCAAAGGGTTCTTTCGGTGTTCATGCTTATATATAGAACCATTGTCTTTACCAAAGAACCCTTGAAGAACTATCTTTTTTAAGTGAAAGAAATTTCATGATGAATGGACTCATGGAAGTGTATGGAATAAAATCTCTTTACATTATTTACATTAAAGGCTAAGAACAATTTTGCCTTCTTCTGTAAAGTTTCCATTTTGAAGTAACTTGTTTTTCTTCGGACACTGATGATATTTTGTATCTACATATGTGAATATATTGACATATATTTAAATATTCAAACATTTATATTGTAAAACAAAATATATTATACATATATTTAAAAATGAGCAAATATATGGACACGTTTTTCTCCCATATTAGTTAAATGTTTTTGTCTGTTTGTTTTTAGTTTGTCTGTTTGTTGTTTTAGCACAAAAATTATTTGCGTTTATGTCCAGCGATTCTAAAAAGTATACACACTCTTATTGAAATGCAAACTTTTTGGAATGTGAAGTCGGGAATGAATATAAATGAATGTAAATGAATATAAACGATGGCTGACATTTTTCAGTCTTTAATGGGATTTTGTGACCAAGAAAATTCATAAGAAAAACAAAT